TTCTATCAGGACTTTATAAATTATTTTGGGTGACAAATCGATCTGTTGCCCCCCCTCTGCTGAGAGAAGGGAGACTTGATTGTGAGCAGTCTATGTGCATGTGTGTGTGCTTGCTTATGTAAATGCATGTCTGTCTGTGCACATGTGTGTGTGCAAGCGCATGTGCGTGCATGTGTGCGTGTGTGTGGATACACTCGCTTGGGTGTTTGTGTGTCGTCTGCTTCGGAGGCATCATCTGCCATCTGGCCTCAAAGTACAGGGGCCACATGGTGGGAAAGCAAATGTCACTGGTCAGGCCAACCAATGCCAAGTCCCGACAAATGACGTCAGGAGAAGCCCACACTGCCACTGCCCAAATAAACAACCCTTCCACAGAGTCTGATCCCCTCCTGACCCTTTGTCGCACTGTCGGTTCCTTGTAATGATGGCGATGGTAATCTAGGAATTAAAGCTTTTCCTAGCATGATACTCGAACTCGAGTCACTCTGGATTTGAGCTGAATCCTTAAAATCAAGGGAAAGAAATGCATCCTATGACTTAAAGGGAGGATGGTCACCCAGATAATCTAAAAGAAAGACAGAAGAAAGGAAAGGAGAATAAAAAAAGAATACCTTTGTCTGAGGCAGAACTATTAAAGCCAGTGACATTTACGTATCAATCAAGTGAAATGGCAATGCAATCATGATCCGGAGAAATGGTACCTCACATCTGCCAAACAAATATGACTTCTATACTGAAGGAGAGTCGATCTTTTTTCCCCTTTTTTCCAACTGCTATCCCCTGTGCTCCAGTTCGAGCACACACGTGAGGAACAGTGTGCTGATGAATGTGTGATCTGATTCTAAGCTTCTTAATTCAAGTCCTTTCTTCACCATCACTTCATTGCAGAGAAGCAGCTGGAACATAAAGGTTTTAACACTTGCCACATTTGAAAAGAGCTCTTTTTCGTTTGGAGGCTGCGTCTGCACACACAGACAGTGAGAACCTGTTAAAAGCCTTGTGTTTAGATCCACACAGAGCATCTGCTCAGCACCTCTGCAATGGGGAACGCAATCAACAGATGAGGCGGGTAAACAACTCAATGCCCTTGCAAAGAATTACTGTTTCGACAAAGGTTTGCCAGTTGGGCACCATGCTGGCTTTGGTTTTTAATTACACACTGAGAGACATACACATAATGCATTCCTCTGTGCCATTGCAAGGCCAAAAGAGATTCTAAAAAGGTTGAGCAGACAAGCCAAGGTAAGGGAAAGTACGGTTCAGTTCAGTCTCACGGCCACGCTTTACATTTTCCAGCTGATGCGCCCTTGTGCATTAGTAGTTAAGGGACTCACACAGCTGATGGTGCAGTGATGTACTCCACTTCTCAGAGCCCCAGACATGCTGCAGCATATTGTTTTAGCTATAGGCACAAGCACTCACAGTGACAGACACCTCCGTTCCCCTTGCAATGCCTTCTACACCTCTTCACCAGATGACAAGAGCCACTTTCCCTGTAGACGCAGTGAGAAAGAGTTGGGTGAAAACAATTAAAAATGCGCCAGTGGGCGAAACGCTTGTCCCCTTCTCGTTGATTCCGAGCAGAAAGTCCTGAATAGAAATGATAAATTGAATTAATGAGTAGATTTGTAAACAGCAAATGTATGTTTTTTCCCCAGTGCTGTTAGTTTCATTGTTTTAGTTATGTCAGCAGTGTCAAGTCAAGAAAATAAATAAAACAAAAATAATGATATGCTTGTAATGACACAATACAGGTACTTTGAAGCGCACATACCCTGTATGTCCTATTTGCAGCTTCTTGACAACCAGCAGTTGTTAAATTACAGATTATCCCAACAATCCTGACAGGGATGAAACTAGTCATAAAGTCCTCAAGCATCAGCCTCCCACTCTGGGCAACTCCCTTCCTTGCAGTACATACTGGAGCACATGAACACGCATATAAATAGCTTCACACATGAATGTGCGCTTACACGCATGCGCGCACGCACGGATGCAGATATTAACACACCAGCTGGCATTTGCAATAAAAAGACAAAAAGACCTGTTCTATTTTACACATCCGCAGGGGGTCAATAACTCATTAGAGCCAAGGAAAAGGCAGAGGCAGCTGAGGGAGATGACGTGGTGGGAGATGGGCGGTGTGACTGTGGGCTGTTCACCTGAGGATATCAGCGTGTCATTGTGCTCAGAGGTCATGATGACGAATTATGACTTCATTTAGCAGCATTTCATAAAACGTGCCCGGGCATCGCCAAGCCCGAAATGGGGTACTACACGTGCAGTTTGTCTGTTTAATTCTCCTCTGACATTTTCTCTCTAACTGGGATTTTTTTTTTTTACAGCTCATCCTTTTGTTTTTTATTTATTACCTTTATACTGCTTGTCATGGACCCGCATCTCATTGAAGAAGTCTATAAATGTAAAGTTTATTATCAGGTTAAACTAGCCCACTGTCCTTCCATCAAAGCCTTTGGAGAGTGTTCGCCTATGGGGTTCTCCTTAAAGGCGGTGTAGGCATTGCTGTGAGTATTTGTACTGCAGATGATTCATCGTGCTCACTAGTTATTTCTGGCCTAAACTTCTGAGACTGCCTCAATAGTTTCAAATATTTGGAGTTTCTCTATTGATGACCCGAATCAAATGGTGGCTGCCCTCTTGGCTTTTTCCTTAACAAGTCCTGGCGCATATCCAGTGAAGGGGACTCATCTGTTTAATCATCTCAATCACTGAGCTGGACCCAACTAAATATGGAATACAGAAAACAGGCTGCAGTGTGGGCTGCATCAGTGTACTACAGCGGGCAGACTGCTACTGTCAATGGATCAAATCCAAAAAAATATAGCTGTGTATGTTTGTGCGCGTGTGTGTAAGCCCACATGAATGTCTAAGGGTTTATCAGACAGTGTGTGTTTGTTTTGGGTTCGTGCCTTTGGGTTACGACACTTAAGGAACCGTTTACAGAATTTATTCTGTTACACAACCTAATCCTTAAAGCCTCCGAGTCACTTCAGTAGTACAACATCAAAATGTCAGGAAGCACAATCTAGATAGTCAGAACAAGAGTGTAATTATATGCATCATCATCATTATTATTATTACTATTATTATTAATACTACAGACTGTTTTAAAAATATACATGCATTCATTTCAAGTCCACATCAAAGATTTCCATTTATGACCCGACGTCCAAACAAAATACCACAAAAACACCAGGATGATGTTTTCAACCTTGTTAAGGACAAATGCTAATTACATGATTCAAAGACTAAATCCATAAACACACAGACATTGTAATTAAATAATCTGCACAGCTCTGTGTCAACACCAGCCATCTGAAATGACCTTGGAGCTTCTTGAAAATTAGTGTGCTCATAAAGTGCTGCACGTTGGCACTTTGGATGATGTCGTTCTGACCCTCCTATCACGTCACAGACTGAAACTGTGCAAAATGACAGGTTCGTACTGTTCTTTCAAAAAGAACATATGGTTGAATGGTGGATTCACTTGTTGGAATATCTTGGGATGACTGATTTTACAAACTGAATGCAAGCAGAAATATAAAGAACAAAAGGCAAAAAAAGAAAAACCCAAGCTGTTAATTTGCTTCATCGTGTATTCATTTCATAAAGCAACAATTAAATGGCAGAAATTCTGATAAATGCCGTGTGCAGTCTAAATTATACCATATGTAGATACTAAACAACCACATTTACCTCCTTTTAAACTAAAACACTGATGCTATGTGAGATGTGACAAGCTTGCAGCTAGTCTGGCAACCACCTCAGCCTGTGTTTGGTGCCATTTGGCAACCGCTGGAATATTTAAATGCCCTGATGAATACATAGCCCCTGGGCCCGATGGCTCAAACTGAACACCGAGTGTGTTCTGACATGCTCAGCATACACTAATGGGACTTCTGACAGTCTTGTGCATTCATCCTACAAAAACCCGGCATGGTGCCAGAGGGGAACAGAGGCTGGGTGTGAATGTAGTGCACTGGCTGAAGATCTGGAAAGTAAAAGGCCACAGGTCAAACTGGTGCAACATCTAATGTGTCCATCAGGAGCCATTTATAGTGCCAAACTGTCCTTTGGCAAGAAAGGGAGCCCCTTCCTATTCATTTGCTACAAATTACAGTACTTTACATAAGAGCAACAGCTGCAGTAAATTTGCCAAAGTGAGTGAATCCACATATCTGCACTGACCGTCCATTTCCAAGGAGCCGCGTTTACTTAAGCATGACCGTTTGGCTGAAGCTGGAGAAGCTCTACAATTATGTGACTGCAGGGCAAAACACGCCTGTAATCTGTAACCTGCACGCAGGCGTCTGCACGAGAAGCGGACAACACGGGTGCTGTCCGCGGTGCTGAAAAACAAAACTGGCTAAAACGGGAGCTAAATCCTTACTGGGAACGTGCTCTTTATGTCCCAAATTGCTGTTTTCACAGCCAAACATGGCCTGAGTCTAAACACGTGTTACACAGTGGACACAGCTGTCTCGATTCCCTTGGAAAGCCAGTGTTGTTACGTTATAGAGCACGCGAGACATATAATTGATTATGGTTATTTTGGAAAATGTCAGTAGAGCGGTGTAGCCCAATGATGTTGACCTTTTAAGCTGTGTAACTCTGTTCAACAGCATTACACAACAGTGCAAGTCCAGGAAACCGTATTGATCAGGATTTGTTGCAGATCTGAGATCGGATGTTTGTTTTTATGTAGAAAAAAATTTAACAAACTCAGGCTGAAGATTACAGTCAGAAAATTTCGAGTATGCGCGCACTCACGTGTTCCTTTAAGCTAGAGTGGTGTCAGGTTTACTTTTTTCCCTCTAAATTGGTAAAAAAAAAAAAATACACGAGTACATTTAAAAAATGCGCCTTGAGGAACTATATGTGCGTTAATGCGTCGACATAAAGCCGATGTTCATTACGACCTCCATAGAAAACAAACCACTCTATCTAAGACATGTCATTATATTGGCGACATTATACAATATGCATAATATTAGAGCGGAGTAATATACGGCTGGGAGTAAGTCCCTGGCGTGCAACGAGAGGAAAAACACACAAACAAAAGCGTTAACTTGAGGTTTTGGCGATGCCGCCTACTGAGACCACCATTACGCATTGATTAGTTCCCCCCACAGTGAAGCAGCAGAGGAATTTCTGGGTGCAGATATAGGACCACTCCTCTCTCTGCATACGATTTTCTCTCCTCTCTCCACAGTCGGGGCTTGTTGGTGAGGAAGGGGGAGGATGGTCTTGCAGTCGACGAAAGGAACAGGAGTTTATTGAGGAGTAGCTGCAACGGGAGGAAAAGCCTGTGCACATGAGCCTTGCGGATGTCAAGAAGAGAAAAAAAGAAAGGCTCGCGCCTGGACAGATGACCGCTCTGTTGAAACACTGGCGCTTGAATTGTTTAACTTGTTGATGCAACGTTTTTCTACTGTTTCCCCCCCTTCTCGTCTGGGTGCAGTGACACATAGATGGGTGGCGGAATCGCAAGTATTCTCTTCCTATGATAGGTATTTATTGAACTCGCCGTGGATGCAGTTTAAAGAGAAACCTTCTTTAAGGTGGGTGTTTTTCCCCTTTTCTCTTACTCCTTTTTCCCCCTTTTTTTTTGCTGAGACCGGGGGTAAAAGAAGAAGAAACACGCCTGCTTTTATTGATGGATGATGATCGAAATCTAATTCATATTCTGCCGCAAAGTGGGCTTCCATAACTGAACAGTTACACTGTTGATAAGGCTGTGGAGAGTGATACTGCGCATAACACCATAGAGTATCAGTAAAAGTAAATGGGCTCATGCGTTTTCTTATCACATTCTGCTCCACAAGCCTATAACCGTCACTGTCCCTATCCGTTCTTCCTGCAGATGCAATTCATCTCCGAGCCGTAGCACTGTGATAACCGGAGCAGGGTCGTTTTAAAAAAGAAACTACAGGTCAGCATGGCAGCAGGTGTAGCGGCATGGCTTCCCTTCGCCCGAGCAGCGGCCATAGGATGGATGCCCGTGGCGAGCACCCCGATGCCCATGCCTCCTCAAGACAAGAGGAAAGCCCAGGACGGACTTATTATCCTCAACGTGAGTGGGACCAAGTTTCAAACGTGGCGAACCACTTTGGAGAGGTACCCGGACACTTTGCTGGGGAGCACGGAGAGAGACTTCTTTTTCCACGAGGAGACGAACGAATACTTTTTCGACCGCGACCCTGACATCTTCAGACACATCCTCAATTTCTACCGCACGGGGAAACTACACTATCCGCGCCAAGAATGCATATCCGCGTACGACGAGGAGCTCGCGTTCTTTGGTATTATTCCCGAGATCATCGGGGACTGCTGCTACGAGGAGTACAAAGACCGAAGGCGCGAAAACGCGGAGAGGCTTCAGGATGACGAGGAGATGGACATGAACAATGACGTCACGCCAGTCAACCTGACGTTCCGGGAGTACCTGTGGCGGGCTTTTGAAAACCCCCACACCAGCACCTTGGCTCTGGTCTTCTACTATGTCACGGGGTTCTTCATTGCCATATCAGTGATGGCCAACGTGGTGGAGACGGTTCCCTGTGGGTCTTTGCCCAACAGGTCAAAGGAGATTTCCTGTGGAGACCGTTACGCTCTAGCCTTCTTTTGTTTGGACACCGCGTGCGTCATGATCTTCACGGTCGAGTACCTTCTCCGATTAATCGCGGCGCCCAGCCGGTACAAGTTCATGAAAAGTGTGATGAGCGTCATCGACGTGGTCGCCATCATGCCTTACTACATCGGCCTGGTGATGACCGACAACGACCAGGTGAGCGGTGCTTTCGTCACCCTCAGAGTCTTCCGGGTTTTTCGGATTTTCAAGTTCTCCCGGCACTCCGCTGGGCTGCGCATCTTGGGCTACACCTTGAAGAGCTGCGCCTCCGAGCTGGGCTTCCTCCTCTTTTCGCTCACCATGGCCATCATTATCTTTGCCACGGTTATGTTTTATGCGGAGAAAGGCTCCACGGCCAGCAAGTTCACCAGTATCCCCGCAGCCTTTTGGTACACCATTGTCACCATGACAACACTGGGGTAGGTGGCTGCAAAAGTCCATTAAAAAACAAAAGAAACAACAACAAAAAAACAAACAAACCCTTCAAGCGCTCGAGACACACCACAACTCACCAGCTCGGCTTTGTTACTGTGTCGATAAACACACATAACACACAACAATGAAAAAATTCAAAATTAATATTACTGCAATAATACCAACAATTAAACAATTATTATGTAGTAGTGTTCTCAACGAGCACTTACAATTAGCTAGTAGATCTTAATTTGCATAAAAATATTTTAGAAAATTGTAGCTGGGCCACAGGTGTGGGTCATTGAACGTATTAATGCTCAGCCAATCAGAGAGCAGGAGCAGTGTGCTTTATAGAAGCTTCCGTGGTCGATTCGCTCCCCAATCAGCGAGCCTGCCCCTCACAAGCACCTCTTATCATTCTGAGGGTAAGCTACCGTCCCTGCCGGTTTCTGAGGGTCGTTACCGAATGCCTTTCCAAATGTTACCGCAATGTCTTTAAAAAAGGCGCTTTTATTGTCGAGCTATAGGAGCAAACAAACTACAGCTCACTGACCACGCTCCCACATACCGCATTAACAGGCCAAATTAAAGGCAAAGCAACGTATAGGGGACACACACACACCTCTCCTCTCCCTGCACCGCCTCCTCTCCGCCTCTCATTCACCCTCTCTCAGCTCCCCTCTCTCCGTTTCAACAAGGTGCAGTAAATATTTGAATGCCAATTTCATGCTCGCGAACACCGCCGGTCGCAACCACGTGCTGATGTAGCATAGAATAATTAAACTCGGGTTGGACGATTACATCAAATTAATTTGTATTGATGAGCGCGCTCAGCTGCACTGTGTGGCTTGCTGTTATTATTATTATTGCTGTTATGAGCATTATTCCCAGTCTTCTTTGGTGATGCGCTTTCGGACCACCTCTGTGTGTTGCAAACTTTTGTCACCGTCGATATGTTTGACCTGATGCCTGCTCGCATAACAAAACAAAACAAAAATCAACAAAAAAGGTAATGCGGAGTTTAAGCAACGGGGGAATCGCAATCACACCAAAGGTAAAACACAACAACGTATACCGGTTGCTTCAGCACTCGCTGCTGCTGCTCATATGAGGTTGAGCACAGCCGCTCAGCCAGTGTTAGTCCTCCTCTTCGCTGATGACACAGAAATTAGGGCCCGGGTTTTAATTTCAAAATCACAACATCGCAAAGCAAACACTACAAAAACAAATTGCCTCTGGCAGTGTGTACTTGTGTGTGTGTGTGTGTGTGTCTGCAGCAGTGCATAAGCTGGAGCTATGTAAGGCACAGTCCTGAGAATATTAAGTTCAAAATGTATTCCTTCTTGTACTACTATCATTATTACTGTTGGTTTGAACTGACACAGGGATCTCCACATTGCGCACAACCTGATTGGGGGGGAATAATCCCTCTTGTTTTTGTCTTCCTTCACATCTGCATTGATGCAGCCACTCAGCACCTGAGTACCCCTCAGCTCTGCAGGCAGCATATTTTGTTATTATTATCATTATTGTAATTGTTATATAATTAAACGGTGACATTTCCCTCTATCTGCACTCATGCTGCTGGTGACACTGAGTTAGTGGATTTTCTGTCTTCTTAATGGCATACAACTCTTCCCTCTGTGCTCACTCAATATCAGTCGAACTACCACTCACCCTCGAAATGACCAATGAGAGCATAATTAGTAATGGGCACGATCTGGTGATTGAAGCGAGCCACCTCGTACACAATGCTGCATCGGCCGTGCTTTCCATTTCGATTCAAAGCGCGGGTGAAGGATGAGTTGTGTAAGAGGGTTCATTATTTATCTTTGGGGAGAAACAAAGATATTGCTGCATTCAGCTCGGAGTCTTTGTGTTGCTCAAGATGGATTTGAAAAAGATGTTTTTTGCCGCGAGAGGACAAAACTGAAATGTCCTTGGTAATGGGGACATCTTTGTCACTCCATTGTGATCCGTGACAGCCCGGCTGACAGATTCGCAACCTGAACCGAAGCCTTACAGTGCTGCAGAATGCTGCATAGTGGACCACTGCTGGAGAGGCTGAATACTCATCAGTGTAAGACAAAGTCAGCCCCTTCTCACGATCCATCTTTGTCTTTAAAGGCGTGCTTCTGAAAAAACACATCTCATACAAGCCTACAAACCAGAGTCATGTCTACTGATACAGCGATGTAAGAAAAGCATCTGCTATATTCTTCTCCAATCACCTTCAGATGCTTATCTGATCAGGGGAAATGAGGTATTCTGATGGTATGTATCAGAGCTCAGCATGGAGAAAAATTGATCCACGTCTGACAAATAGGTATTTAGACCCATATGAATGGGGTTGTCTTTTCATTCGCTGGCAAATAAGCTATTTAGAGACTAGCGGGTGCACTACTGGCTGGAACCTCCATTTGAAGCCTTTGAAAGCATTTGATTTCATTCTGTTAGTCAATGATGCTTTATGCCTGCATGGTATCATGATGCCTTTCCACTACATATATTTTCAATTTCCCCTCACTTGCACCCCGTGGAAGTAAAGACTGTGGTGTGCGTTCTCTCCCCTGCTGATGGCCCATTGATTGTGCTTAAGCAGACGTGCAGACATTGGGAGAGCAGGGGCTCCTGTTCAGAGGCACTTGGCAGGCAGCCTGAATGAAAGGGAAGGGTGCCTGGAGACCAGCGGAGAATCAATAGCACTGTGCAGCTGCGTGTCATGCCTCTGTGTGTCTACTCCTCTGTGCCACCAAACACAGGACAAGACCCACTTATCCCTCCTTCTTTATTGAGCCTAATCTCTGTGGCTGCTTTCGGATATCCAACAAAGAGGAATCTGCTTCTGCCGTGAACTTCAAGAACTGGGTGTAAAATATGAGATTTTTATCTGCAGCTTTGCGGTATCTTTGATAACGGCACGCGAGTCTGAGGGTATAATTTAGTGTCTTGATTTAATATTGTTCATTTAAGCTGGTATTGCACTTTATTAGGCTGGAATCAGACATTGCAGTGTTTTCCTGCTCTTATTTTCTCTGGATGATCCACATGGTCAGGGTGAATTAGCTGCAGAGGGAGTTTTTGGTGCTTCAGATCTTTTAAGTGATTTAAGGTGTAATGGAGTGCACTGCTGAGAGCAGCTGTGAAAACGGTGGAAGCCAAGCGCAACCCACAGGGGAAGAGGAGTGGGGAGGACAGGGCTTAGTCTGGCGTAGGCTAAACCTAGACACGTTCCTCTGGACACTGGCAAACATTACCTTTGATAGACACGATAGGCTCGAGCTTCTGACTCAAACACGCAAGCCCACACACAGTTTCCATATATTGAAATGTACTCGTTGCCCGCCAAGATGCCTAGGAGGAATGGTCATTATAATTACTGATTTGTTGTGACATTTACTATGTAAATTGTCCTGCGGTGTAACAAATACGCGTGTACGCTGTAGTCACTCAACAGATGCAGAATTTATCACCATGCCGTTTGTCTGTGCTGCAGCTCCACCCACCAAATACAACCGGAACGGCTTGACAAGTGAGCCCTATAAACCTCTCAGGATAGGATTTATAAGACAGAGAAAGCAAGGTTAACAGACACGAGGGTCACTGTAGGGCCCATAAGCCAGCAGAAGCATAACCATTATCATGCTTGCCAGTTCTGACACCTCAGCCCCCTGGCGATCGAAAACTACAACGCAAAGCATCAGCTTCACGGTTTAGCGTGGTGCAGAGAGCGAAGCTTTTTGAAGTCGAAACCCTTCACCGCATGTCAAATGTAATTGAAACGTGCAGGAACAATCTGGAGGGCCTTTTACTGTATCTGTACCCAAGAGATAACAAACGCATTCTTGATGATATAGTCCTCATGCGGTTGGATAAGTTGCCATGCCCCTGGCAGCCAATGCAGAGAATTTTCACTCTTTTTTTTTCCTCTAATTCTTTTTTTTCCCCCTTCTGAGCTCGACAGTCTGCGAGAACATTTGGTGCGTTTGATTATGTAGCGCAATTGGTGTAATTTTTGTGTTCAGTAGAATAAATTACACCACTTGCCATTGTGTATGTTATGCACATTATGAAAATCAGCAATCCATTTTGAGCGACGTGATGTGGCGCCGTGTAAAACAGAAGTGGCTAATGTGAAATGTGTAGGCCGCCGTCAGCCTGTGGGCTCACGGCGGTCCTCCAGGTGCTTTATTGGGGAGGAGAGGTGACGCTAATACGAGGCTGGTATAATAGTCCTGAAGTGACAGGTGACTTAATGAGAGGAACCTGGCACTGAAATGTGTTCTGTGCGAGCTCCTTTCTGCCCATGCAAATGACTGCGAAATGGAGGAGTGGAAGCGAGGGGAGGGTACCAGGCAGCTTTCTTCAGAGGAGATTAAGATCATTGTGAAAGAAGGAATCCATTAAAAAAAAAGTGCTAAATTGAAAACACGCAAGCCCCTGCATTTTCTTTCTCCTCTTTGTTTGCTCAAACAGTTTCACTCTGGCAGTTAGAGATTTAAAAGGGTGCTTTGAAGGTTTGAAGTGGAATGATTGATTAAAATCTTAAGGCCATTCACATATTGCATATTTATTACATCATACTTCTGTGCTTTGAAAGGTAGATGTTTCTATTTGGTTATTTGGGTGTTAAATGAGTTTTCAATTATATATATTTCACTGAAAAAAAAAATCCAGCGTCAGAAAGAAAATGCATTTGCGGTCAGTCAACCCTGAACTGAAAAACAGATTATGGCCAGCTGGTAGGTTGATGTCAGGTTACTGTGTATGTGAACTGACTCTAAAAGCAGGCATGCGTCACTGCGGATGGTCAGATTGATAAATAATCTATATGGCAAGGACAAAATGGCTGTCCCCCCCATTTGATTCGATTTCTTTGACAGCCCATCTTCGAGGCAGCCCCAATAACACTCATTCCACGAGGGGGGATTTTCATTAATTCACTTTCAATGTGCTGCATTAAGCAGGGAAATCGACTAGCATGTTCTGCACTTGGGCCTTGGTA